TTCTATGATTTTATTTTTTATAAGAAAAAATCTGGTCAGTGAGTTTGAGATTTATTTTCAAAAACAAAAAAAAGGGGGGGGGGGAGGATTGACTTTAAGTTTAGAGTCGATTCGCGAGATGAGTTCGATGTGTGAGCTATTGAGATACGTGTGATGGACGCTGACGATCGAGTAATTAGACGACGAGCGGGTCGGCGGGACGGGCACATGGATGGGGACGGATCCGAGCTGAGACGCAGTTGCTGCCGTTGTTGCTGCAGTTGTTGTAGTAGTTGTTGGAGGAGTAGGAAGGACTGAGTGAGGATGAGTGGGTGCGGAGGAGCCGGCGATGGTAGCGCTGAGCGAACCTGAAGTGGGGTTGCTCGTGCTTGTTGTCAGTGTGGTGCCGGTGCTCGTTGAGCCGGATGTGGACGCGGATGTGGATGGTGTGGTGCTGCTCGAGGTGGTTCCGGTGGCCGTTCCTGCTGGGGTGGTGGGACTGCTGCTGGAGATGAACTTGATCATCTTTTGGTACACTTCTACCAGCATATCACTTAACGTGATCCATACCTCGAAATAATCTAAATCGAATGGCTTTTTATTCCATCACGGGAAAAATTTAGCAAACTTTTTCAATCTTGAGCAGGGTTTGAAGAGAAGACTTACGATGTTGGGCGTGTATATGAACGACGGGTCGCCGGAGTCTTGTAGCGTTATCGAATAGTCCGTGCCTGCTCCTCCAGCCGACTTCCGGGCGGACTTGGATGACTGCTTAAAGATCCCTCTCTACAGAAACAAACAAACAAAAAAACCCAATCAATATTGATTTTTTTCTTAATTTAAGAAAGGAGAGGAGCTCAAACGGATAGACTGGTGATCTTGGGCTTGAAATTATCGTTGGGGATCGACTCGAATTCGTGCAACAGATTGATCATCGCCTTCAAGAAGTCCTGCAGGTTGTTGATGTCGAGTAAGGAAGACAAGGACATTCCCAAGATGGCGAATTTCGTCGTCCTATCATTCCAATTCCAAAAAAAAGTCAATAAAAAAAAAGGAGGAGGAAGGAAGGAGGGAAAGGAGAGACGAACCTGGTGATCATCCGATGATGATCGAACCATTTCTCGAGCTCGGGTCTGGAGAGCAGGATAGTATTAAACCAATGGACCTTACCCTGATGGACTTTCTTGAGATAGACGAGGGTGGTGATGCGTTTATGGGCGAGGGTGAGGAGGGATTCGACGGTGTTTGTTGGATGAGTAGTGGAGCCGGCCGAGGAGGAAGTATTCGTATTATTATTACTATTACTATTACTATTATTATTATTATTATTGTTGTTGTTATTGGGAGGAGTGGTGACGGAAGGATTGAGGATGGAATGACCCGTCGACAACGGCTCGTAGACCATCGAGCATTCTTCTTCTGC